TTAAATAATCCTGATAGCACTGGCTGGACTTATGGCACTTTCTCACCGTACTGCCAACATTGTGGAGGCATCTCTGAAAACAAAAAGAGACTCCGAAACCACAATTCTCAAAGTGTGAACCCTCAGCGGCAAGTCCGGGACATTGTGAGATGCACCCCGCGAGATGTCCGGGTACATATTCTCCCCTCTTGCGCACATTGGGCCGCAGCGCAGTTGCAGGAAGGGCCAGGGGCTAAAAGAAAGCCAAAGCCAGGCCATTGCTCTCGCGCAGCACAAGGAAAACTTGAACGTCCGAAGTGACGTGGTGCATCACTCTCTGCACCTCCTATTCTTACAGTGTTGCCTACAAAACCTGTCCACAAACGAATGAAACGACACTCGAAGTCTCCCGGGCTCGACGGTTCCTTCGCCATGCGTCAGTGGCCAAGAATCCCATCAGGCAAGAACGTTCTCAGCTTGCGGCCGTGCCTTGCTTGCGCCAGCTTCGAGCTACGATGAGAGGAGGATTATCCACACGAGGTCCGGCGGCCGGCGATCGCTCGACCAAGTTGGTCAGAAGTGGGACTATGATGCATACATGCTCCGAAGAGACTGCGTGGTGTACAGCTGTCTACTGTTGTCCGCCACATTGCATTTGCAGTCGTTGTTGGAACGTCTGGGAGTTCGTCCCGTTGACAGGCTGGGGGGGACAGCAGTCGCGGACAACGGCTGGATACTGCTTAACCAATCTGAATTTGGCGGCAATCCGCATCATGTGCCTTCCTCACTCTTGCGCAGAGGTAAGCTCCACGAGTCGGCATGGTGACACTTTGGCCCCCCATCAAATTACTTTCCGAGCTTGCCCAAGAAGGCTGCCAAGACGATCCCATATCGAACGCTCCGAAAAGGCATTTACGGTTGACTGCTGGCTCTGGATCCCGAGCTTCGGTGTGGTGTCTGCCCCACTCTTTGTTCCACTGCGTCCTCCTACTCTTCCCTGATCAATGCAACTCGCATGGGCATCGTGTCTGGATGGTCTGGTGGGTTTCCACGAAGCGTCAAGAAAGTGTGGAACCGCTGGCGTTGTTTGACATGCGCGCGCGGGGGGGGGCGCATGGTAATATGAGTTGAGGATTCATTGAGCGCTCATAAGTAAAATCAAGGCGACTGCTCAGCCTGATCTGATCTGGCAGGGATGAGGGGGTGTCAAGAAGGGGACTGGATGCGAAGAAAGCAATGGATTTTCATTGGAGCGGCCGTGCAGAAAAACCAGGAAACTGATACACGGAGGGGGGAGATCTGGACTCCAGCTTGGGGTGCGAGAAAAATGTGGATGCCACGATAATGGACACCCTAACAGTTCTATCATCGAATTAGACATGTGTTTAAAATGTCGGAATAATGTCATGAGAATATTAAAAACATGTTTTTACATGTTTAGCACCGTTTTAACACATGTTCTAGGCATCTGGAAATCATTTGGCAACATGCTTCCTCTCAGTTGATCGTTCTCCACAACAGTAACAATAGGAGTCTGTGCGGTGCAGGCTGCAGGGGCACTCTGGAGTGCGAGGCCACCGCGCGAGGCCCCACGAGGCGGGCACTCGGTGCACACCAGGCGAACGCCAGGACGATCCATCCAACGCCTGGAGCAAGGGATGGGCCTGTTCTCCACCACCACCACCACCACCACCACCACCACAAGTCGGAGGGAGAGGGGGTCCTCCTCCTCCTCCTCCTCCTCCTCCTCCTCCTCCTCCTCCTCCTCCTCCTCCTCCTCCTAGCTCCTCCTTCCTCCTCCTCCTCCTCCTCCTCCCCCCTCCTCCTCCTCCTCCTCCGCCTCCGCCTCCTCCTCTCCTCCTCCTCCCCTCCTCCTCCTCCTCCTCCTCTTCCTTCCTTCTCCTCCCTCCTCCTCCTCCTCCGCCTTCCGCCTCCTCCTCCTCCTCCTTCCTCCTCCTCTCCTCCTCCTCCTCCTCCTCCTCCTCCTCCTCCTCCTCCTCCTTCCCCCTCCAACTTGTGGTGGTGGTGGTGGTGGTGGAAGACAGGCCCATCAGCAGAGCGCGCGTCGGGGCTGGGCGGGGGGCCGGGCACCGGCCCGGGGGGACACGCCCAGAGCGCCCCCCCCCCCGCACGGCGCGGGCCAAAAACGTGCCGGGCAGGGGCGGGCACGGAGAAACCAGACCAGCGCACGGAGCGGGCACGAATGGGCGGGCACCTGCGGTGGCAACTTGTGGGAGCCTCCCATACAGTCGGACTTGATTGGAGAGGACACGCGAGAGGACACAAGACCCTTCCGAGGGCCACATTGCCCAGGAATGTGGGAAGCACGGGCCGCGAGGCACGGGGCACAAGGGTACCCTTGACTTGGCAGGGTCGACCTACCAATTTGAGCCGACGGTAGCATCCTGTCGGCTCTGGCGAATCGACGCTGGTCGACGCCAAATCGACGCGAAGCGACGCCAAATCGGCGCGAACTCGACGCTACATCGGCGCTGAATCGGCGCTGTCGCATCGATTCCCAGGCGCTGATCAACGCTGGTCAAGGCTGCAGACGGAACTACGAGGGTACCTACTGGTCGGAAGAAGTGGGTAGAAACATGAAGCAGGAAGGCGACGAAAGAAGATTGGGTGTCCGCCCGCCCCCTGAGGAGGACGGAATGGGTGAAGCCACTCGATCGTTGAAGCAGAAAGGCGCTTAAGGTTGATTTTGGATCTGGGAATCCAAAAAAAACTGCTGTCAACGACCGATGGGCGTGCAAGGCTCCCACGATTTTAGAGGCCTCCTAGATGGGGTCGGAGTAGATGGGGTCGGAGGATCGCGCCGCATCGCTGATACATCGGCGGTGCACCGGCGATGCATCGGCGATGCATCGGCGATTCACCGGCGATGCATCGTCGACGTCGGCGATGCATCGGCGACGTCGGCGTGTAGAAAACCGGGCTCCGCATCGAGCTGCACCGCCGATGCATCGGCGATGCGGCGCAATCCTCCGACCCCATCCAGGAGGCCTAGAGTCAAGTCGGGTGTGTCCCCCTACAGGGGGATTTCCGACGAGAAAGCAAAAATACCCCAGAAATGCTCCAAAACGGTCTAAAATAATGCTCACGAAATAGTCCCCAGACTATTTTTGACTAGTTTTGAAAACATTCCCCCTGTAGACCCTGACCTTCCAGAGAGCTATCTTTTAGCACTGGAGGCCTACAAACCGAAACAACGAAACGAAACAGCCTGAAACCGAGACATAGAATAGCTCTGGGATAGGTTTTTAGGTCGCGTGCTACTTTTTAGTCCTCCTTAGGGGGAAAACAAACCTACCTCGCTTTTGACCACCCTCGCTTCCAAGAGATACCAAGCGATGCCAAACTACGGCCTGTACTGGTTAGGCCGCTTGACGGGGAGGCGCGTGGTATGACTTGGTTTTGCCTGGAAGCGAAAGCGGGGTATGGGACGCACATGGACATACTAGTGCTATATGTCCTCCTTGGAGGCGCGCGTCCGACCCGAACGTATAGTATACCCATCTTGTAGTATATCGTTTCCCGAGCGGTGTGGCCAGAAAGCGCCCACCACGACGCATATACTATAAGATTTCTCGGTGCGCGCGTCGCCCCTGGGGGGGCGACGCACATATAGTATCAGTATGTTGGGGTGTTGCCGAGGGTAGGTACTCCACGCTCTGACTCCTGGGAGGTCTGGGGAGGGACAGGCCCGACTTGAGCCCCGAGCGGACGGGCGGGCACCCGGCGCGCAGGCCCGAGAGGGCAGCAGACGCCCCGGCGGACCGGCCCGGGGAGGGGAGCCGGGCGCCGGGCGGGCGCCGGGCGAGCACCCGCCCACGGGGCTGCGGAACGGCGGAAGGGACGACGAGGGGGAGGAGGAGGAGGAGGAGGAGGAGGAGGAGGAGGAGGAGGAGGAGGAGGAGGAGGAGGAGGAGGAGCTTCCAGAGAGCTATGTTTTAGCACTGGAGACCTAAAAACCTCAAAAGCTGAGCGAAACAGCCTAAAACCAAGACGCAGAATAGCTCTGGGATTGGTTTTTTACGTCGCGCTATTTTTTAGCCCTCCTGGAAGGTCAGGGTTCTTGGTGGACGTTGCCCCCCATCGTCGTGCTTAAGTAGGGGAACGAAGAGCGACAGAAGCATAAAAACTCGAGTCCGCGCGGATTTCTCGATCGGCGCTGGGGCCCCCCGGCGGCACCTCCGGCGCCGCCCCTGGCGCGCTCCGCGCGCCAGGGAGGGGGGTCCAGCGCCGATCCGAGAAATCCGCGCGGACCTCCGAGTTGTTATGTTTATGTCACTTTTTGTTCCCCTAATTTCGAGCACCCGGAAAAGTGTCGAAAGAGTGTCGAAAGTGTCGAGACGGTGCCGGATGAATGGCTCCAAAGGCCCGACACGTGAAAGCCCTCGAGTTTCGGTACTTGTTCGGTGCTCGAAATTGCTTCTGGTGGTCAAGGCTAAAGTAGGTTGGAACATCATAATTATTGGTGCAAGCACTGTAGCCAAAGAGTGTGGGGCATGCGCGCGCGAATCAACTTGCACATCTTCAACGGCGTTGACTCCGAGCAAGAACAGAAGACTGACAGGGGCAAGACACCATGAGCTAGAGGGCAACAGCTTACAGGAGCATGCGAGCATGTGCGCATGCGAACAATAAGTCAATAACGCAACTAGATTATGAAGCAGGCCAGCATACAAGTAATCAAGACACCAAGCAACCAAGCAGGAAAGCAAGAAGGCAAGTATTTGTGAAAAAATGCAGGGGAGTAGTCAAGCAGACAAGCACTCGAGCAACCAAGCAGTCAGTCAAGCAACTGCGAATGAATACGAAATAATGGAGAGGGAGGAGGAGGACAAAAAGGATATCAACAGCGAGTGAACGACAAGAGCGTGACAAAGAGAACGACGAGGACGATGAGGAAGAGACGAGCAGGGCAGAACAAAGAGGGCACTCGGAACGGAAGAGAAAGACAAGGCCGCAAGAAGCCAACACGGAGCGAGAGGAGGAGACTCCCCCACCATCGCCTACTTCCACCGTCGGCGAGGTCTGAGGCGGTGTCCTGCGTCCAAGCTCTCTCTCTCCCTCTCGTCAGGCCGCTGGATGTTTAGCTTGCTCTTATGATCATCCTGCTCTTCCAAGCCCATGCTGCTCCCCCACATCCGTCCCTCAGCTCGACGCGCCCTCTCGCCCCACTCCCTCACCGGCATTCGCGATTAAGGCACGATCTGTCGACACGAGAAAGAGAAAAAAAGTCATAAACATAAACTTTCAGTGCTCCGCGCGGATTTCTTGGATCTGCGCTGGGCCCCCTCCCTGGCGCGCGGAGCGCGCCAGGGGCGGCGCTGGAAGCGCCGCCAGGGAGCTCTAGCGCAGATCCAAGAAATCCGCGCGGAACGCCAAAAGTTAATGTTTTTGTTTTTTTTCGAGACATACACTTCTCAATAACCAATATCCCCTTTGATTCTCCCCGTCCTTCACAGCCCCTTATTCGCCGATCGCCTCCCATCGCGCTGCACGCGTGAGATTCTCTCAATTTGCAGCGCTCAGCGCATTCCTTCGCACACATAATCGAGCCCATGTAATGGCTGGCACTGCTGCAAGCGTCTGTCTCTCACGAGCGGCGATTCTCGCGGATAGGTTCCGACCTCAACACGTCCAGGACGAGTGTTCATCCGTCCAGGCCAGGGACTCTTCATCCGTGGCGCAAGAACCCGCCAGTAGACGCGATGACCTGACTTCGCGCTGAGTGAAATCCCACCAGCCCTTTAGGGCGTAGGTGGTTTAGGGAGTTTCCTCTGCCAACCCCCTTCTTCCCCTTCGGGGAGGGGTTTACCCCTCCCCTTACCCCTCCCCACTGACCAGGACGGGGCGTTCCGCGGGTCGTTGGGACGGCCAAGATGGCCCAAGACATCTCCAAGAGCGAAAAGGCGAGAAACACACAAAACATTGATTTTACCTAGGTTTTGGAAGGATTTTGGCCTCTCGGGGGGGCCCAAGAGGCGACTCGAGGCACTCTAGAGGGGCAACGCTAATATACGACCCCCCCTTTTTTGATAGATCTCCTCCAAGATGGCCCCAAGAGCGCCCCGAAGGCTCCCAAGAGCGCCCCAAGAGCGCCCCAAGACGGCCCCACGAGGCCCCAAGAGGCCCCCAAGAAGCCTCCAAGAGGCTGCCAAGAGACCCCCAAGAGGCCCCAAGAGCCTCCCAAGATGGCCCAAGACGGCTCCAAGAGCGAAAAGGCGAGAAAGCAAAAAACATTGATTTTACTTAGGTTTTGGAACGATTTTGGCCTCTTGGGGGGCCCAAGAGGCGACTCGAGGCACTCTAGAGGGGCAACGCTAATTGGGGACCCCCTCTTCTTTGATCGATCTCCTCCAAGATGGCCCCAAGAGCGCCCCGAGCGCCCCGAAGGCTCCCAAGAGCGCCCCAAGAGCGCGCCCAAGAGCGCTCCAAGAGGCCCCAAGAGGCGCCCAAGAGGCCTCCACAAGGCTCCCAAGAGACCCCCAAGAGGCCCAAGAGGCTCCCAAGACGGCCCAAGACGGCTCCAAGAGCGAAAAGGCGAGAAAACACAAAACATTGATTTTCCCTAGGTTTTGGAAAGATTTTGGCCTCTTGGGGGGCCCAAGAAGCGATTCGAGGCACTTTAGAGGGGCAGCGCTAATTGGGGACCCCCCTTCTTTGATAGATCTCCTCTAAGATGGCCCCAAGAGCGCCTCGAAGGCTCCCAAGAGCGCCCCAAGAGCGCCCCAAGAGGGCCCCAAGAGGCCCCAAGAGGCCCCCAAGAGGCCTCCAAGAGGCCCCCAAGAGACCCCCAAGAGGCCACAAGAGGCTCCCCGAGATACGCAAGAGGCCCCCGGGACCGCCAAGAGGCCCCAAAGACGGCCCAAGAGGCCCCCAAGCTCGCCATTGTCCTCCTCCTCCTCCTCTTTTTCTTCCTCCTCCCTCCTCCCCCTCCCCCTCCTCCTCCTCCTCCTCCTCCTCCTCCTCCTTCTCCTTTTCCTCCTTCTCGTCCTCCTCGTCCTCGCAGTCCTCCATCTCCTCCTCCTTCTATTCCTCCTCCTCCTCCTGCTCCTCCTCCTGCTCCTCCTCTTCCTCCTCCTACTCCGACGACGACGGCTCCTCCTACATCCTCCCCTCTTGGGGCATATGGCGGCTCACCCCGCCCTTTGTTCTTCTGCATGCTCCCCCGCTTCCCTCATAACCTCCACTCCCCTGGGACTCATTTCTGGACGGGCTGGTGGGGATACGCGAAGCGTCTAGAATTGGGAGGAATGGTGCGGAGGGGCGGCAAGGCGAGGAGAAGGGAGGAGAGGAGAGGAGAAGGAGGCCAGGAGGCAGAAGGAGGAGGAGGCAGGTAGGAAGGAGGGAGGATGGCGGAGGCGGAGGAGGAGGAGGAGGAGGAGGAGGAGGAGGAGAGAGAAGAGAGCGAGACAGAGAGAGGTCGCAGACATCCGCTGTATCTGCCCTGCAGCGAGCAGCTCGGACCCCCGCGCAGAGCAGCCGACGATCTGTAGGCAGCACGCACACGGCTTGCAAGCTGCGACCATCGCCGAATAACGCGCGTGGCCAGCACTAGCAACCATCGCGAACCACGACAGCCAGACAGCACGTTCACATGGTGCTTCGAGCCACAGTGTGAGCTGCTTATGAGACTGCCGGGAGCTGATCGAAAGCACGCCATCCCTTAACGGAACTAACAAGACAGAATACCAACACTCGCGGACAGACGTACATCGAACAGGTCTTGCAGCCTGTTGATGATTTTGGTCATGCCGTAGGACTCATAAGCGCACGTGTGCGCTTGCGTGTAGTAGCGTTGGCCAATGCGCGCGCGATGAACGCGTGCCTGTGACTGCGAAGGAAAGAGCTTGAAGCCAGCTTACATACATGGACCCGCCCCAGGAGCCAGGCAGCAAAGGACCGGCACACTAACTAGACTTACTGTTCACCTTGTCCTCTTGACTCCTTGCCCTTTCCGATATCAATGTCCTCATCCTCGGCGCGCTCAATATTCCCCATTTCCTCCCGACCCCCCCTGGTATGATTCCTCCCTCCTCCTGAACACCACCCTCGTCAACAACCGACCACAACCGATCTTGATCGTCATTATCACCATCTTGATTAGTATGAACCTCATCATCGTCGCCGCCGTCATCATCGACCACAAGGAAGGTGGTCAACGCCTCCCGCGCCCTATGAAGGTTGCCAGAACTACTCCTGTGCAGAATCACTACTCTGCCTTCACTTTCTCGCTCTCTCTCTCTCTCTCTTGTTTTGTTTTGTTCTCTCTCTCTCTCTCTCTCTCTCCTTGTATATAATCACCAGATCTCTGTGTATATATATATATATATATATATATATATGCATATGTGCATACCTCGCCCTCTCTCTCTCTCTTTCTCTCTCTCTCTCTCTCTCTCTCCCCCGCCTCTTGTTTCTCTCTACTGATAACTCTCGCTCTCTCCATCTCTCTCTCTCTCTCTCTCTCTGTGTATCTCTATCACGTTATCTCCTTCTATCTCTTTATTGTTCCCCCTCTCCTTCTATACTATCTCTCTCTCTCCCTCCCTCTCCCTCTCCCTCTCCACCCTCTACTCTATACTCCCTCACTCTCTTTCTCCCGTTGACCTCCCAAGATGCCACAGAAGGCATCAACAAATACTCTCGTCCTCCCTCCTGCTCCGTCTCCTGCCTGCGCCCCAATTGCCCCTCGCACACATCACCACGCTCTGTCCGTCACGGCCCTGCCAGAAAAATTACCCTGTGACGTACCCAACCCACTTGTATCATGGGATACGAGGAGTTGGCCAAAACTTGCATGGACAATCAAATTGCAGGATCTGTTGTTTGATATGTAAGCTACTTGGGACACGCGCCTATGGCATGATGCGCAGGAGAACCGTACAAGAAGGAGGGGCGGCAGCTGCAGGCCCGAAGGGGACATGGGGAGTCGGGAACGAAGAGCAGGAGAAAGACGTGCGGGAAGCCCACTGTGCTGGGCCCCCCAGCAGGCCTCGGAAGTGGCGGCAGTTTCACAGATCGCAGCCCCCCAGGGATTGCGAGGTCTAATCTGAGTCTGCGGTAAGTACCCACTGTGCTGGGCCCCTCAGCAGCCCTCGAAAGTGGCGACAGTTTCACAGATCGCAGCCCCCCACGGATGGCGAGGTCTAATTTGAGTCTGCGGTGAGTACCCACTGTGCTGGGCCCCTCAGCAGCCCTCGAAAGTGGCGACAGTTTCACAGATCGCAGCCCCCCAGGGATGGCGAGGCCTAATCTGAGTCTGCGGTGAGTACCCACTGTGCTAGGCCCCCCAGCAGGCCTCGAAAGTGGCGACATATTCACAGATCGCAGCCCCCCAGGGATGGCGAGGTCTAATCTGAGTCTGCGGTGAATACCAACTGTGCTGGGCCCCTCAGCAGCCCTCGAAAGTGACGACAGTTTCACAGATCGCAGCCCCCCAGGGATGGCGAGGTCTAATTTGAGTCTGCGGTGAATACCCCCTGTGCTGGGCCCCTCAGCAACCCTCGAAATTGTCGCCAGTTGGGCCTCCCAGGATCGCAGCCCCCCAGGATGCGAGGTCTAATCTTATGTCTTGCGGTGAGTACCTCTGTTCCGGGCCCCCCCGCGGCCTCGAAATGGTCGAGACAGCCCACGACCGCAGCCCCCCACGAAGGCGAGGTCTAATTGAGTCCGCGGTGTGAGTTACCTGTGGCCTGGCCCCCCAGCAAAGACCCAGTCGAAAGTGGCGACAGTTTCACAGATCGCAGCCCCCCAGGGATGGCGAGGTCTAATTTGAATCTGCGTGAGGCGTCACTGTGCTGGGCCCCCCAGCAGGCCTCGAAAGTGGCGACAGTTTCACAGATCGCAGCCCCCCAGGGATGGCGAGGTCTAATTTGAATCTGCGTGTGGCGTCACTGTGCTGGGCCCCCCAGCAGGCCTCGAAAGTGGCGACATTTTCACAGATCGCAGCCCCCCAGGGATGGCGAGGCCTAATTTGAATCTGCGTGTGGCGTCACTGTGCTGGGCCCCCCAGCAGGCCTCGAAAGTGGCGACAGTTTC